AGCGGGCTTGAGCTGTGACGGTCTGATCATGAATCTAACTTCGAACGGATTGGAGCGTGGTTGAGTCTCGGTAGTACGAGCGCGTCTCTGCGCATGAGCCTGGGGCCTCCTGAGGCCTCAGAAACCTCCTGGGCCTTCCTGGGGCCTCCAGGAGCCTCTTGGGGCCTCCTGGGGCCTCTTGGGGCTTCGAGTGGCCTCCTGAGGCCTCCTGGAGCCTCGCGTAGCCTCCTGGAGCCTCCTGGAGCCTCCTGGGACCTCCTAGGGAGGATTCGTGCCCCAGGGGAAGCCCGATCTATAGGAACAGACGTACATAAAACATTGCGGATTGGAGCCACAGGAGAAGGGCAGTCTATAGGAGCACACGTAAAACACCAAGGACTCGTGCCCCAGGGGAGGCCCAATATATAGGAACAGACGTAAAACATTTAGGACTGCATACACAGGAGAAGGACAATATATATATACACACACATATACGTATAACATCAAAGATTCGTGCTCCAGGTGAGGCCCAATTTGTAGGAGCATACGTAAAACAGATGGGATTGGAGCCACTCCTGTTGCCTTCTGAGGCCTCCTGCTCCTGGGGCCTCTCGGGGCCTCCTGTTGCCTGGGCCTCCTGGCGCTTCCTTGTGGCCTCCTGGGGCCTCCTGTGGCTTCCTGAGGCCTCATGGAGCTTCCTGGGGCCTCCTGGAGCCTCTTGGGACATCCTGTGGCCTCTTGAATCTTCATGTGGCCTCCTGATGCCTCCTGGGACCTCATATGGCCTCCTGGGGTCTCCTGAAGCCTGCTGGAGCCTCCTGTGGCATCCTGGGGAGAACATGTGCCCACGAGCCTGGCCACCAAAACAGGCGAAGCGATCGAGACATCCTCAAAATCTGGCCTCCCTGGGAGGCGAAAGTGAGCGTCTCGCTCGAGGCATCCTCCAAATCTGCTCCGAAAGCGGAGGATGTCAGGGACCAAAACAAGCAAACCGCCTGAGACATCCCCACCATTTGGGCGCGAACGGAGGCCGTGCAATACCCCTGGCGGCCCCCCCTTAGGAGGCGCCTCGCACGAGACATCGTCTAAATCTGCTCCGGAAACGGACGATGTTGCGGGCCAAAACAAGCAAACCACCTTAGACATCCCCACCATTTGGGCGCGAACGGAGGCCTTGCAATACCCCTGGCGGCCCCCCCAATATGAGCGCTAAAACCAGCAAACCGCTCGAGACTCCTCTTCATCTGCCCATCGTCATCATCGTCATCATCATCATCAGCAGCATCATCATCATCAACAGCATCAGCATCACCATGATCATCATCATCGTCATCATCATCATCATCATCGTCATCAGCATCAGCATCATACTACTACTACTACTACTACTACTACTACTACTACGACGACGACGACGACGACGACGACGACGACGACGACTACTCATCCATCATTCACCATCACCATCATACTCACATCATACTCTCACCATACCATGATCATCGTCATGACAATCATCACCATGACATTAATCATCATCATCATCATCATCATCATCATCATCATCACCAGCATCATCATCATCATCATCATCATCTTCATTATGGTATGGGTGGTCTGGCGCGGTCTGAGAATAACAAGAACCCCATCCTTTGGATATGGGGAATAGCAAGAACCCCATCATCTGGATATGGGAACAACAACAACAAGAACAAGAACAAGAACAACAAGAACAACAGGAACAACAACAATAATAACATCAACAACAACAATAGCATCAGCAACAACAACAGCAACAGCAATTAGAGCAACGACAACAACATCAACAACAATACCACCAAGAATTAGCCTGGTGAAGGACCCAACCATATGCAGTTGTGAATACCGCAATTGTGAATACCATCTTTGCCCGCGCTCCCTATGTGGCCACAGCTTCCCGCCGGAACCCGACATGCTCAGGAGCACGTTCGTGGCCGTCTTCGCGGGCGCCGACGACGACACGGACGGCATCCCTCTGACCGAGGAGCAAAAGCAGAAGAGGGCTTTGAGAGCCATGAGGGAGGAGGTGGCGTTGCACGTCGACACGGCGGAGTACGACGCCCAGGCGCGGTTGTTGAAGCAACACATCTATGGGGCCACGATCCTCGTGAGGGGTGTGCCGCAATGGCCCGGGGCCGCCATGCGAACCTTGCCACTGGCGCCTTCGCTGGAGCTCCTTTAGGGCCACGATCCTCGTGAGGGGTGTGCCGAAATGGCCCGAGGCCGCCATGCGAACGCTGCCACTGGGGCCTTCGGTGGAGCTCCCTATGGGGCCACGATCCTCGTGAGGGTGTGCCGAAATGGCCCGAGGCCGCCATGCGAACCCTGCCACTGGGGCCTTCGGCGGAGCTCCCTATGAGGCCACGATCCTCGTGAGGGATGTGCCGAAATGGCCCGAGGCCGCCATGCGAACCCTGCCACTGGGGCCTTCGGTGGAGCTCCCTATGGGGCCACGATCCTCGTGAGGGGTGTGCCGAAATGGCCCGAGGCCGCCACGCAAACGCTGCCACTGGCGCCTTCGGTGGAGCTCCCTATGGGGCCACGATCCTCGTGAGGGGTGTGCCGAAATGGCCCGAGGCCGCCATGCGAACGCTGCCACTGGGGCCTTCGGTGGAACTCCCTATGGGGCCACGATCCTCGTGAGGGGTGTGCCGAAATGGCCCGAGGCCGCCATGCGACCGCTGCCACTGGGGCCTTCTGTGGAGCTCCCTATGGGGCCACGATCCTCGTGAGGGGTGTGCCGAAATGGCCCGAGGCCGCCACGCGAACGCTGCCACTGGGGTCTTCGGTGGAGCTCCGTATGGGGCCACGATCCTCGTGAGGGGTGTGCCAAAATGGCCCGAGGCCACCATGCTAACGCTGCCACTGGGGCCTTCGGTGGAGCTCCCTATCGGCCACGATCCTCGTGAGGGGTGTGCCGAAATGGCCCGAGGCCGCCATGCGAACGCTGCCACTGGGGTCTTCGGTGGAGCTCCGTATGGGGCCACGATCCTCGTGAGGGGTGTGCCGAAATGGCCCGAGGCCACCATGCGAACGCTGCCACTGTGGCCTTCGGTGGAGCTCCCTATGCGATCCTCGTGAGGGGTGTGCCGAAATGGCCCGAGGCCACCATGCGAACGCTGCCACTAGGGCCTTCGGTGGAGCTCCCTATGGGGCCACGAAACGCTGTACTGGGTGGGTGAAACGCAGGGAGGAGGGGGGAGGAGGGGGAGGAGGAGAGGAGAGGAGAAACGCGGGGCGACGTCTCTTCAAAACGAGGACCCAACACCACAGGATGGTTGGGAAAAACAAAGACGAGGAAGAGTAGAAAGAGTCAGAGGATCAGGAAGAGGAGCAGCAGCAGCAGGAGGACGAGGAGGACGACGACGAGAAGGCAGGGAAGAATGGGATGGAGGAGAAGGAATAGGGATGAGGAGCAGGAGGAGGAAGGAGGAAAGTGAGAAGAAGGAGGAGGTGGGGGGGAGGAAAGTGAGTAGGAGGAGGAGGAGGACGGGGAGGAGGAGGAGGGAGGAGGAGAGAGGAGGAGGGGACTGGGAGAGAGGGAGGAAGGGGAGGAGGCGCGACGAGGGGCAGGAGGGGGAGGGGGGAAGCAAGGAGGTGGGAGCGGCGGAAGCAGGAGCGGTGGCACGAGCAGCAGCGGGCAAAGGGCGCTGGCACACGGGCGGAGGCGGAAGGGGGGGCGAAAGCAGAAATATAAGCCTGAGCAGATGATGATGATGATGATGATGATGATGATGATGATGATGATGATGATGATGATGATGATGATGATGATGATGATGATGATGATGATGATGATGATGATGATGATCATCATCATCATCATCATCATCATCATCATCATCATCATCATCATCATCATCATCATCATCATCATCATCATCATATCATCATCACCACCACCACCACCACCATCATCATCATCATCATCATCATCATCAGCATCATCATCATCATCATCAGCATCATCATCATCATCATCATCATCATCATCAGCATCATCATCATCATCATCATCATCATCAGATCATCATCATCATCATCACATCATCCACCACCACCACCACCATCATCATCATCATCATCATCATCATCATCATGGTCGTGATGATGAGGATGATGAGGATGGTGAGGATGTGGATGAGGAGGATGAGGGGGGAAATGATGATGGTGATGTTGATGGTTATGATGATCATGATGGTGGTGATGATGATGATGTTGATGATGGTGACGATGATGATGATGATGATGATGGTGGTGGTGGTGATGATGATGATAATGACAATGACAATGATGGCAGTGATGATGAGGATGATGATGATGCTCGTGATGGTGATGGTAATGGTGATGGTAATGATAATGGTGATGATGATGATGATGATGATGATGATGATGATGATCATGATGATGACGACGATGATGATGATGATGATGATGATCATCATCATCATCATGAGACTCTGCGTCCACGAGTTGGGAAACGGACATTGGCACAGGTCCGCCTAATTCCTCCTCCCTCCCCCCTCGTCCTGCTCCTCTGAATGGTTTCCCCATTCCTCGGAGAGGGGCGGGGGAGGAACGAGGTGGATCTGTATCGCTGTCCTCCTCCTCGAACGTTCAGGAATGAGGCCCTCGCGGAAGACGCTTTGGCATGTGAGCAACAAGAGCGCAGCGCGGGACAGGAAGGGAGCCAGGAGCGGGTAGGAGGATGACCAGGAGTGGGGCGGAGCAAAAGCACGGCTAGCCTGGGCCGTCCTAGTCTGGCCTGCCTGTCCTCCTCCTCCTCCTCCTCATCCTCCTCTCCTCCTCCTCCTCCTCCTCCTCCTCCTCCTCCTCCTCCTCCTCCTCCTCCTCCTCCTCCTCCTCCCTCCTCCTCCTCCTCCTCCTCCTCCTCCTCCTCCTCCTCCTCCTCCTCCTCCCCTCCTCTGCGCGCCGCCCACACAGGCGGAGCGCGGCCGAGCAGGCGCTCGGGCCGGCGCCTCTACCGAAGCCCCCAGAGTCGCCCCTGCCGAAGGCACCTCTGGCGTCGCCTCCTCGGCCTCGCGAGGGGGTGGGGGAGGAGGAGGAGGAGGAGGAGGAGGAGGAGGAGGAGGAGGAGGAGGAGGAGGAGGAAGAAGGAGGAGGAGGAGGAGGAGAGGAGGAGGAAGAGGAGGAGGAGGAGGAGGTAGGGGGGAGAAGGAGGAGGAGGAGGAGGGGCGAGGAGGAAGAGGAGGAGGAGGAGGAGGGGAGGGGGGGCGCGGACCTCCACCGTTTCGAGGAGAAAGAAATTAGGGGAACGAGCAATGACAAAGTTAACCACAAAAACTCGGAGGTCCGCGCGGATTTCTCGGATCGGCGCTCGGAGCGCGCCAGGGGCGGCGCTGGAGGCGCCGCCAGGGGGGTCCAGCGCGGGGCCGAGAAATCCGCGCGGACCTCGAGTTTTGTGGTTCCTCCTCCTCTCTCCTCCTCCTCCCTCCTCCTCCTCCTCCTCCTCCTCCTCCTCCTCCTCCTCCTCCTCCTCATCCTCCCCTTTCTCTTCCTCCTGATGTGATTTCAGATGTTCAGCCCACGGGGGCTCCGACAACAGACGGCTCGGGGCGGGAAGCGGGCTGGGGGGAGCGGGTCTGGACGTCCGCGGGCCCCGCATCAAGAAAAGCAAGGCATCGGAGGTCTGGGAACGCGCAGCCGGCCCCGTGAGAAAACAACGGCGGCAGGCTTTCTGCCGTGACGGCGGAACCCTCTCATTCTAGGGGTGAAATAAGAGAGAAAGAGAAAAAACAAAAAAAAAAAAAAAAAAAAAAAAAAAAAAAAAAAAAACTTGTTGGTCTGCGGGTCGAGAGCGCACATGAGAGAGAGAAACAAACAAACAACAACAAAAAATGGGGAAGTTCCTGGCCGTTTTCGGACTCTGGGGGCCATCGCCAGGCCGCGGGAACGTCAAAAAGCGGCCCCTGATGCAAAATGGCAGGGGCCCATGCCTCTGGGGTGCGCGATGGGAAAGAGTCACGACATCGGATGTCTGGGAAATGGGGCCGGAGCAGATGGGATCGGTGATTCTCGGCACATCGCCGACGCATCAGCGATGCATCGGCAACACCCGAACAGTCTGAGGGGAAGACCGCGGCAGGCTTCCATGGCAGGCGCCCGAAGGAACGCGAAGGGGGCAGCCTTTCAAGAACGGGGCAGAGGGCCTTCCAAGAAGGCATATGAAAACCTGTCTGAAAAGTTCCCAAATCCTCTCAAGAAGGCCCCCTGCCTTGTAAGAGGCCCCCCGCCTTCTTAGAAGGCAGCCCCCCAAGCGCCACCCTACCAGACTGATCCACCTAGGGCGTGAACATCATTTTAAACGCCCGCCGTTGAAATGATGCGCGGCCGTCGCGTCGAGAATGATTACGACTAAGTGATGATGATAATGAAGATGATGTACTTTTGGCGTGATTATGTCTACGTTTTGGGTGGGGGCTGTTTACTTGCTGCGATGTCCTGTGTACTTGTTCGGAGGTCCTGTCTACTTGTTGGGGTTTCCGACTTAGTTATTGAAGTGTACTGCCTACTCCTTGGGACTGTACTTTCCACTTGTTCGGGGTGATCCTGTTTACTTGCTGGGTGGTCGTGGTCCTGTTCACTCTTTAAGAAGTCCTGATCACTTATTCGGAGGTCCTAATTACTTGTTGGGAAGGAATGTTACCTGTTGGAAGACCATGTTAACGTTGTATAAAATCCGGTTTACTGGCGAGGAGGTTCTGTTTACTTCGTGCGAGGTCCTACTTACTTTTTGAGCTGGTCCTGCTTACTTGTTCGGGGTTCCTATGTACTTCTTGCGAGTCGCCTTCCCGCAGAGATGATGTGGTCACCAGTGCTCTGGCTTGACCAGATCTCCGCGGCTCGCCGAACCGAACCGAATCTTCCTCATCCTCATCCTCCTCAGCCTTCTCCTCCTCCTCCTCCTCCTCCTTCTCACCCTCATCCCCATCCTCATCCTCATCCTCCTCTTCCTCCTCCTCCTCCTCCTCCTCCTCCTCCCCGCCATCTTCGCCATCGTCCCTCTCGTCGTTCTGGTGCCTCCCCCCCCGACGGGAGGGGTGGGCCAGTGGCACAGCCGTGCCCCTCCCTGCGATCCGAAGCTCCAAACACATTTGAGCGTCGCGCAAAATCACAGACAGAACCATAGACCCAATCTCTCTGCATTTTTCGAGCCCGATCGACTTGTGAGGGCCCAAGTGCCCGAAGCTGGGCGCAAACGTCCACGTCGATTCAAAATTCCGGCGCCAGGATCTCAGGGCACTGTTTGGGCGCCCTGGCTCCTGCGCCGGACCATCCCCTGCCGCCCATGCCGCCACCCATGCCACCGCCCATGCCGTCGCCCCTGCCGCCTCTGCCGCCGCCCTCCTCTGGGCGGGCCGCGAAGGCGGCGAAGACGGGCCGCAGGCGGTGCCCGCCAGCAGCGCACGGGTGGAGATGGCGATGCGGTGACGATGATGACGCTGGTGGTAGCGGTGGTGAAAAAAACGATGATGATGACGGTGATGTTGCTGATGCTGCTGTTGGTGATGCTGATGGTGGTGCTGGTGCTGGTGTTGGTGCTGGTCCTGGTGTTCGTGTTGGTGCTGGCATTGTATTCGTGCTGATGTTGGTGTTGGTGCTGATAATGGTGTTGGTGCTGGTGATGGTGTTGGTGTTGCTGATGGTGATGGTGATGGTGATAGTGACGATGCTGGTGGTGGTGCTGGTGTTTGTGCTGGTGCTGGTGTTGTGTTGGTGCAGGAGCAGGTGCATGTGCTGGTGATGGTGATGGTATTGGTGATGGTGATGGTGACGGTGATGATGATGGTGATGGTGATGGTGATGGTGATGGTGATGGTGATGGTGATGGTGATGGTGATGGTGATGGTGACGGTGATGGTGATGGTGATGGTGGTGTTGATGGGGACGGTGATGGTGATGGTAATGGTAATGTCTACCTCTGAAGAGCGCAACAAACAGGAGCAATATCCCGTCCACGACTCTGAGGACAGAGTCGGCTTAACAAAAGAGCCGAGACGGAGGCGTGCACTGGGCCAGCTTCTTGCCGCGGACTTACACTACCAAGCGCTATCGAATATAGCCGCCAAACACGACTGCACAGAAGACGGCGAACCGAGCTCCAGTCCAATCTGATTGGTCCATTTCGGCCTCTTCTTCGAGCTCACCCTCGAGCCCCAGGTCCTCCTCCCAGACGGGAGGAGGAGGGGGAGGAGGGGGGGGCAGGAGATGGAGGAGGGGGAGGAGGGGGAGGAGGAGGGGGAGGAGGGGAGGAGGGGAGGGAGGGGGAGGAGGGGGAGGCGGGAGAGCGGCGGAGGTGCCGAGGGAAGCGAGACGAGCGGGGCGGGCGTCCGAGAACCCCGCGGGAGCAGCGCGTCGGGCGAGGGTTCGCTCCTCCGAGGCCGTGACGACTGGTGTCGCGCAAGAGGTCCACAAAAACTGGTCCTTGGCTCCACGAGTGACTACTCAAGATTTCGTAATAAAAGGGAGGGGGGTCTCATTTCGGGGAGGGGTCTCTTCCAGGCTATATCTTGGAGGGCCTGGGGGGGTCTGGGGGCGATGTGTTGGAGGGTTCTCCCACGGGGGGGGGTCTGAAATGGCTCGTCCTGGAGGGTTCAGACCCCCTCCCTTTTATTACGAGATCTGGAGTACCTACCAGACCACCCCAACCCAACCCGAAGACCCGAATTTCGGGCTTGGGGGGGTAAGGGTTCCACATGCGGTTTTTCGATGTTTCCCGACCCCCCCACCCACTGGAAATCGAGGGTAAATCTGAGCCTTCGGGTTGGGTTGGGGTGGTTTGGTGGGTGGTGAATGGATCACTGAGGTCGGGAGGGGGTGGCGGTTGGCGGCAGAGGGATCTCGTCGGTCCAGGTGCAGCTCGTCGTACAGCCTGGATGCACCCGAACGGAGGCATCGCCTCCCGTTGGCGCTGATAATGATGGGGTCGAGCAGGTGGCCTGTGAGAACTAGACCGCGAAGTATTCACTGTCACGTCCATCGTCTCCCTTTGGCATCAGCGCCGCGAAAAATACCGGCCGCAATCTCGCAGCTTGGTACGTGATGGTCCGCCTAAGTCCGCACCAACTGCAATGATTGAGGCTGCCACCGATTGTGGCACTGCTGCCCGTTGTTCCGAGGGAGCTGGTAGTCGTTGCATTTGTCGAAGTCGTTGGATCGCATCCTTCACGTGCTTATCGATAAGCGTGGTGACGTCCGTTCCTCTTGTGACGGTTTGGTTCCCGACCAATATGGAAGCTAGTTTGACTCATAAGGTGTGGCCTTTGACGGTGCTGCTGGCTAGGAGGTCAACGGCCTCCTCGTCCGTATCCAAGTATCTGGATTTTCCAGGTCAACTCTTGTCATGAGGCCTGGTCAAAGAGGGGTGATTGTCGTAAGGATTCTCGTAAACTGCCAATGTCCCAGACCGTCGAGTCGGAATCAACACTGAATTCTTTACGCTTCGCGTATCCCCACCAGCCCATCTCAAAACAGCAACTCTTGCGAAGCATGCCGACAGTCGTGTTTTTCAGGCGTGTTTCCGCCTGCCCCCGCATATCTCCCCTGTTCCTCCTTCCCCCCGCCTCCTTGTACATCCTCCTTGTGGTGGGAGCGGGAGAAGGACGAGGCGGAGGAGGAGGGAGAGAAAGCGCTCCTCGTGGTTTGAGTCGTTTGGGGTTTCTTGTCCTGGTGTGAGTCGTTCGGGCCGTTCTTCCTGGTGTGAATCGTTCGGGCTCTTCGTGATGTGAGTCGTTCGGGCTCTTCGTCCTGGTGTGAGTCGTTCGGGCTTCTCGTGGTGTGAGTTGTTCGGGCCCCTCGTCGTCGTGTGAGTCGTTCGGGCCCCTCCTCCTGGTGTGACTCGTTCGGGTTCCTCGTGGTGTGAGTCGTTCGGGGCCCTCGTCGTGGTGTGAGTCGTTTTGGGAGCCTCTTGGAGGCCTTTTGGGGCGTCTTGGGGGCCTCTTGGCGGCCCCAGGGGTTTCCAGGAGCGTCTTGGGTGCCTCGGGGGAGACTCTTGGGGCCTCTTGGGCGCCTCGTGGGGGCATCTTGGGGGCCTCTTGGAGGCCTCTTGGGGCCTCTTGGGACTCTTTGGGAGGGGTCTGGGAGGAATCTTGGGGCCATCTGTCGGGCGATCGATCACAGATGGGGCGAGCACTTTTCTCCCCTCCCCCCGTCGGGGCCAGAATCCTCGTGAGGGGTGTCGAATTTTAGCCCTCCCAGGAGTCGAAAAAGACCCCTCCAACGACCCGCGAGACGCCCTCTCCAGGCCCAGGGGGAGGGGGGGAGGGGGAGGGGTAAAACCCCTCCCCGAAGGGGAAGAAGGGGGTTGAGAACAGAGCGGGCTCTCTAAACCACTCACGCCCAAAAGGGCTGGTGGGATTTGACCAACAACCGTGGGATTTCTGTGCTTTCTGGCTGCCCACGCGTACATGAACAACAATATATCACGGACGCTGAAAGATGAGCCCTATAAATGGGCACTAATTCCGTCGAGGGCGTCGCTGAAACATACCGAACATCCTCAGGCACCTCTTGTGATGGGTATAGAAAGTTTCCCTCACGCGAAGGATACGTTCGGGACATCTGGTGTGTCGCTGCAGTTCGATACATACTGGGGTCACCAACAGGTCGAAGAACTTTTTGCGGTCCAGGGCGAGGCCGTAGATCCAATGCTCTATGTGCCTGGACCACTCGACCTGAAAGGCGAGCTCGTCGAAGCATCTGAGAATCTTGCTCCAGCCGTAGCTCCGAAACTAGTAGAATGATACCACCTTCGTCTCCAAGTGATGGCGATGGTGATGGTGATGGTGATGGTGGTGATGGTGATCGTGATGGTGATGGTGATGGTGGTGGTGATGGTGATGATGGTGATGGTGGTGGTGGTGGTGATGGTGGTGGTGATGGCGATGGTGATGGTGATGGTGATGGTGATGGTGATGGTGATGGTGATGGTGATGGTGATGGTGATGGTGATGGTGATGGTGATGGTGATGGTGATGGTGATGGTGGATGGGATGGTGATGGTGATGGTGATGGTGATTGGTGATGTGATTGATGATGGTGACATGATGGTGATTGGTGATGGTGATGGTGATGGTGTGGTGATGGTGATTGGTGATGGTGATGTGATGGTGATGGTGGTGATGGTGATGGTGATGGTGATGGTGATGGTGATGGTGATGGTGATGGTGATGGTGGTGGTGATGGTGATGGTGGTGGTGGTGGTGATGGTGATGGCGATGGGGGTGGTGATGGTGATGGTGGTGGTGATGGTGATGGCGCGATTGTGATGGTGATGGTGGTGTGGTGGTGATGGTGATGGTGATGGTGATGGCGGTGTGATGGTGATGGCGATGACCATGGTGATGGTGATGGTTGATGGTGGTGGTGATGGTGATGGTGGTGGTGGTGGTGGTGGTGATGGTGATGGTGATGGTGATTGTGATGGTGACGGTTATGGTTATGGTGATGGTGGTGGTGATGGTGATGGGCTGTGATGGATGGTGATGGTGATGGTGATAGATGGTGATGGTGGGTGATGGTGATGGTGATGGTGATGTGATGGTATGGTGATGGTGATGGTGATGGTGATTGTGAGTGGTGATGGTGATAGTATGGTGGTAGTGGCAATGGTGGTGGTGATGGTGATTGCGATTGCGATGGTGATGGTGATGGTGATGGTGATGGTGATGGTGATGGTGATGGTGATGGTGAATGCGATGGTGACGGTGATGATGATGGTGATGGTGATGGTGATGGTGATGGTGATGGTGATGGTGATGGTGATGGTGGTGGTGGTGGTGATGATGGCGGTGATGGTGGTGGTGATGGTGATGGTGATGGTGATGGCGATGGCGATGGCGATGGTAATGGTGATGGTGTTGGTGATGGTGATGGTGATGGTGGTGGGTGGTGATGGTGATGGTGGTGGTGGTGGTGATTGGTGATGGTGATGGCGATGGCGATGGTGATGGTGATGGTGATGATGGATGGTGATGGTGATGGTGGTGGTGATGGTGATGGTGATGGTGGTGGTGGTGGTGATGGTGATGCTGGTGGTTGTGGTAATGGTGATGGTGATGGTGGTGGTGGTGGTTGTTGATGGTGATGGTGATGGTGATGGTGATGTTGATGGTGATGGTGATGATGATGGTGATGGTGATGGTGATGGTGGTGGTGCTGGTGATGGTGACCGTGACGGTGACGGCGATGGTGATGGTGATGGTGATGGTGATGGTGATGGTGATGGTGAGGTGGATGGTGGTGGTGATGGTTGATGGCGATGGTGATGGTGATGGTGATGGTGATGGTGATGGTGATGGTGATGGTGAATGGTGATGGTGATGGTGATGGTGGTGGTAATGGTGATG